TTCTCGAACCAACAACAATCAAGATCAGACCGAAAACCAAAACAGATGAGGCACTACACAACACCGTTGGATTAGCGTTTCATATGGGCCGATTAAACCCCAGTGATCGATTGCAATAGGGCTTCCGAATCTTCCATGATAATTCCAACATGTCACACATTGGTAGGCTAGAAATGCAAAACCGCAATAATCTTTGCGATTAATGACTCTCATACACTTTTTTATCTTCTCACATACCATTTTTTTTTTTTTTTTTAATAATTATCAGCTAGAACAAATCAAGTGAAATCAACGATTAAGATTAAACACGACGGTATAAGAAACTAAAAAGATTGTGTCAAAATTACTTCCTTGTGAATTCTACCGACCGTTTGAATTATACTGGGCCGCTACCGACTCCATTGGGCCCAAAGCTATAGTCACTGAACCGCGAACACTCTCATCTGTCCTCTCTTTTTTTGTCTTTCCAGTTTCCCAAAGCCTTTCCTCCCGCGCAAGAAACATCAAACAGGAAAACCCACCGATCGATCGCACTGATTCACACCGCCATGGCGAACGACAAGTCGGTGATGGCCGTGATCAGAGCCGCGAGGCCGACCTTCCGCAACAACGATGACAAGGTCGCCTTCGCCGTTCACGCCTCCTTCCTCGCCGCCGGCTACGTTCTCACCGCCGTCGGTCCCCCCGCCTTCTCCGATTCCGCTCTCTCCTCGTCTTCTACGGGTACCCACATGCTTAATTTCGATAAATGTTTAATTTTTCTTAGAATTTTGATAATTTCTCTCAAAATTTTCTGGGTTTTTGTTAATTTGGGGTTGCAGATGAAGTGGGCATGGAGGAGTGGAACGAGCTCGACGGCGAGTACGCATTTGTCTATATAAACCCAGAAAAGGGCTCGAAGAAGGTGCTTGTTAAATGCCTTGTAATGAACGGCAAGTTACTTGTGGATGCTCTGGCTGATGGGAGTTCTCGTCCCGTCCATCTCGAAATCGAGTAAGTTTCTGCGGCAATTATTTTGTGTTTTTACAAAATTGGGTTCTTATAATTGTTGCTTGTTAATGGGGTTTCGGTGGTTTTCGAAACGAATTTCAGCGTTGGTGAATATGTTGGAGAGGATGGGGGGAGCAATTACTCCACACAGTTCAAGAATTTGGAGAATTTGGTGAAGAATTTGGATACTGAAGTTCTGTCAAAATTATATGGGTCTGCATCTTCCACATCCGGTTCTTCAAGTAACCTTGAAAGGTAACTGCGTAGTGTCTTGCATTCGCTTCGGTTCTGCTGAAATTTTTGTTTTTAATCTGAGTTTTACGTGCACTTTTTTATGCTGAATTGTATTAGGACTGTGCTAAAGTAGTCACCGTTATTAGTTATGCAAATTTATGGGTATGAAGGTTAAGAATCAGTAAATGTTCTTATTATACTTTGCCCTTTTGTTATGGAACTTTGCAGTTCAGAAAGGAGTGAGAGATCAACAACTGAGCCTGTTTCTGGACCTTCAGGCTTTTACACTGGACCTTCAGGCCCTTACACTGATCCTTCAGGGTATCTATCTCTCGCTCTCTCTGCATTTATGTGTTTTTATGTCTCTCTGCATGTGATTCTAGGTAGTCCATATGTTTGTTAAGTTTTGCTAGCTTATGCTTTGGGTTTTAAAGAAAGTTTGTTTGATAAATCTTACGTGCTTTTTTTCCCAAGATCGTTAGATTATGTGTTTGTTGTGGTATTGTGAGGGGACATTGATTCAGTCCCTAACAAAATGGAGCAGACAGTAGATGTCTGTACATTACAAAGTTAATGTCACATATGATCCAGTCCTCCCTCTTGGGAATTCTTCCGTTGACGAGTGGTGTCATATTTCATCGCCTTGTGGAGCAGTGTAACTGCCTTTACCATTTGGATCTGGCCATGGGACAGACATTTAACCAATTTTCAATTTAGAGGGTCCATATATGAGATTTGTTTCAGTATGTTTAATCGAGTCAAGTTGGGATAAGTGGCTGCTTTCCTGTTTATAGGATCCTATACTATTTTCGTTATCTAATTTCAAAGATTATTCTTACTTCTTAGTTTCCCCATCAATTTGTAAGGAAATAACTAGGAGTCTAGGAGGTTCAAATTATCCTTTTCTAGCTTTAAAATATAAATAAATAAAAACTTTCTTTCTTGAATTAATATTAGTAAAATGACATCCCTTTCTACCTTGTGAGAGGAACCTAAATGTTTTAATTTTTTCGGAAGTTTTTCATTCAGATTAATTAGAGGTTAGTTGTTAAGAGAGTTTGGGAATTGCATTGATAATGTTAGGAAGAAAATAGACAGTTGTCGCAATATGTCTTTTTTGTTGTGATCGGAGTGAGTTAGCGGCGTCGTGTTCAAAATTTTCATTTGTACCCTTAAAAACTCAGTGGCTGGTTTTATTCCCCTTTACAAATTAGCTCATATATTGCATGGATAAGTTTTCAAAGTATGCAGTTTACTCTATGCTTTCTGGCTTGCTTTGCAGAATTATATATCCTCCTGTCATGCCTTATGGTGGCAGTGATCTTTTGCCTGGGCCTGGTGCTGGAATCTACCCTTCAAGGTACTGTATTTCAACAAGGCATCATATTGGTGGTCATTGCAGTTTAAACCCTGTTTTACTGTTCCACATTTGACAACATGTTTGTTGTGTCAATCTTTCAGGGGTGGTGACAGTGGAGGCATGCTTCTTGGTTTGTATAATACTTATTTACTCGTATTGTGCTGATAATAATCACTTTACTTTTTTATTGGGACTCACAGTTCATTCATATTGTGCAAATAGGACCCCGTGACCCTCGTTGGTTTGGTGGCGTTGGAGAGCCTGGGTTTGGCTTTGATCCCTCTAGGCCAGAAGGTGTTCCACCAGGTGCCCGTTTTGATCCCTATGGGCCCCCGGGTGTTCCTGGTTTTGAGCCTAATCGATTTGCAAGGTACGTGGAATAGTAAATTTTCACCAATTCTTGGTTGTTGTATGATCCATCTGATTCTGTAAGACGGCTTACAGCCATCATTATGGTTCAGTGGCTTGAATTTGAGGGTTGATGATAGTTTTTGTTCAGTTTTGGTTGGTAAAGTTGGTCATTGTTTTGATTATGTGCTGAAAGGGTAGTGTAGAGTCGGTTATTTGTACTCTTCTCTCTTTTACTAAAATCTGATTTCCCCGGTGGTAGGAAAATGGAATCGAAATTAGTTTCTTGCCTGGTTTCCACCTGATAGAGCTGTCATTGTTTTTAGTTTAGCGCCTTTTTATTCCTCTCAAAACATGCCAAAAATTATAGGTTTAATGAGCCTTTTTTCGACTTGAGGCCTTTGATCCTACTTAATCCATCAGGGTGGTATCGATTGAGATTATTACCTGTGGGTTCACCGTTACTTTCCAAAAGAATATACAATGGTTTACGGCGTTTGGGAGCTAACAAATAATGAATGATAGATGCAAAGTTTTCAGATCAAAGTACCTTCATCTGGAATATAGTATTGTATGATTTCTATTTCTTGCAGGAATCCACGGAGGCGGGGAGGTGGCACTCATCCAGATCTGGAGCATTTCGGCCGCGGCTCAGATTTCATTTAGGTATGCTGTGCAAGACATGTCGTTTGTCATCAAATAAGAAACTTGAGGACTACAAGGAGCTGACAGAGGATCACTTTTTTGTTCTTGCTTTCTTGTTTGGCTTGCAAGTTGCTGTGTAAACTTTAACATTGTAAAGGAGATGTTTTCATAAGAGTATCAGATATGCTGTTTATTTGAGATCCCGAACGTCCTTTCGGTCAGCAATTTGTTCGTGCTATTCGGTTTTGCGTAGGTGACGGACTTTTGACTGTCTAGAAGCGGTTTAAGCCCTTCCGAAACGATCTCGGTGTTGTTCATTACCCTTTCCTTCAATTTCCTAAGAAAAATTGACCACAAATATCATATGCCCCGCCTCTTACGTGAAGGCTGATACCCTGCAGAGGTAATCTGTTTCTAGCTCCCTTGAAAACATGTCTCTATCCTTTGAAGAAAATGGATGAAGAAATTAGATTTTCCTAGAGAATTCAAGTCGCAAAAAGGTAGTCTTCACTCGTCTCGACGACCATCGTAGGATCACAAGAATCCGATACGTTGATCGACTCATGTTTTGAAAGGACTCATCTGCACCCTTCTGGATGTCACTTGGCAACTTGGATCAGTAGCACGATGCCATGTGATTTAATGTAACGTATCGATTCATGTTTTGAAAGGACTCATCTGCACCCTTCTAGATGTCACTTGGCAACTTGGATCAGTAGCACGATGCCATGTGATTTAATGTAACGTATCGACTCATGTTTTGAAAGGACTCATCTGCACCCTTCTAGATGTCACTTGGCAACTTGGATCAGTTGCACGATGTCATGTGATTTAATGTTTTCACATGAAATTACGTTGTCATGGCGGCATTTAAAATGGTGTAAGTAAGTTTTTCTCCAAGTTGTAGAGGCGATGAGCAAAGATTTTCTCTTGCAACCTTGAGTAGTGTGCTCCGGCTATGCAGTCGAGTTTTGATCTTCATTCTTGTAATTCAGATAACCGTAAAATATCATTTGTATTAAAAAATAAATATTAACCTAATGACATCATCTATTCAATAAAAATTAGACACATGTTTAAAAAGTATATCACCGATTCAATAAATTTTTGACGCGTAATATTTTGGTTACAACTTACTAGAGAGTTTCTCTCCATTATTAGAGTCGGCCACAATCTGAACCGCCACTTGAAAATCTAGAAGTGAGAAGGAAGCTTCCATGCTATTCCATGTCAAATTCCAAAACCGGCAGAGACGTAAGACTCCGGGCAACGTGTGAAACATTTCCCAGCATTTTCTCTAAAAGCACACTTATTCTACATTGATTAAGACATTTTGAATAAATAAATAAATAATCCATCACTGTTCCTTATATATATATATATATATATATATCGTTTCTAGTTCGAGTTAAAATATATACTTCGGAACCCACTACCTTTACTAATTCCTGGACCTTCTGCAGCTGCAAAAGCACAGATTTTTCTGGGGAAAAAAGCACAGATATGAGCCTCCCAAAGTATTCTCTTCTTCCTTTCTTGTTGCTTCTAGTTGTTCTTTTTACATCTAGGAAATCTTCAGGTGCTGAAGGAAGGCCACTCTCCCTCTCGCCACAACAAGGTAAAAAGTTCAAGCAACATACTACGTCTTACATGTAACCCCAAACTGAGAGAGAAACTCGTCACGTTTCGGTATTTCAAACCATCACGCATGCAATGCACGCATGTTTGGTTTGAAATACCGCTACCGGGGCATCACAGTACAGTATCTGATTTTGGATATAATTGAATTGACTTAGTTAGATGTGTTGTGTGAACAAATTGCAGGATATGCGAAGGTTTTTGGAACACTCGGAATAGTTTGCGAGTGCTGTGATGGAGCTGGAGGTGAATGCACAAGTACGTGGAAGGGATCTTGCACTAAGCTGAAATGTCATCCTTGGAAACAGCATTAACAGTCCAAGAGATATTTTGTTTTCATTGGCTTTTTCATTGGCTTTCTCTTCTTCTCTATACTTTGTAAAATATCCCATATACTACTGGAATAAGAGGTTTTTTCTCCCCTTTAAGCTGGATAATGTAAACCGTTAATTTATACCTGATGGAGTTCTATGATTCTCTGTTTGATTGCCGGTCTAATGCTAATGATTCTGAACCAATAATTGCCTAATCGGAAGATATTTGATGCTGGTTACATAAAACTTTATGTATTGACCTAATTATGTTACGAGTTGATTTTCTTAAGGCGATTGGTAGCATAGTTGGTTAACAACATTTAGTTTTACGGTTAAGGTTCTCAGTTCAATTTTTTCCCTCCCAAATATCCATCGTGTAAAAAAGACAAAAAGGAAAAAACCTGCAAACATCTACTCAGAGAACCAATCCGAGGTGCTGAGGTTTTCAGAGTGTGTGTGTTTAAGGGGAGATTTTAGGTGGAAGTTGAGATTAGGAACGTTGCTGAAGTTTCTTCACAGGTGGATTTTGCTGCTGGTCCAATAATTGACTTCTAGAGACCCCTTCATCGTATATAGGTTTCCATGTGCCAATTCCACAGATGCAGTTAACACTCACATGAGAGCTTTCGAAAGTAGAACATATTATACGTACTAGCCTCTTGAGTTTGTGGCAATTTGCTCTTTTACATCTTCTTCTTTATTTATAATTTTTTGTTTATTAAAAAATTTAAAGAAATAAAAGAAGAAAACACCCACTAAGCTTTTGTTTTGCTAGTTTGGAATTTTATTAAAATTAATTGCTCTATTTAAAAATCTTAACTGGGGGAGAGACAATTGGCATTTGCATAGTCCACACGGCAATTTATAGTATTTTGAATGTTTCACCATTTTGGGATACTCTTTTTATATATACTATCATACGAGCACACATAAAGTATGAGAAAAAATTTTATTTTTGTTTTTGAAATAGAAGGAGAGAGGAAGAGAGTGACAGAGAACGTGGGAGTGGGAAGTTTTTTTTTATTTTTTATTTAATTATATGTAGGTGAGGTTTTGAAAAAAAAAACAGTAAAATTTGGTTGTGTAAAATTACATTTTTGTCCCATATTCTTATTCATGTTCTGTTTTAATTAGGAGGTTAAACTAGTAATTTCATAGAGTTTTGGTTGACAATACGTGTTTTATTAATTAGTAGATACACACACACTAGCCTCTTCACACGCATTCATGTGCGTGCGAGAGGCTTTTTAATTACGTACTATATGTGCACCTAAAAATGTCTTGAGTTAGTTGTTTTTCATTTTAATTGCCAAAATATGTTTTTAATATATTGTGCAAGGAATATATTTTTCTTTATCATCCACGTCCTAATAAAAAAACAAAAATTAATCTCTTATGGAGGGAGAGCAGTAAAATATGATGTTTGTGATGTTCTGTAGTTGGGGATGATTTACACGAAATGTAGTATACAAAAAAGTCTTGCTTCATTTCAACTAATTACGTGATTCCTAATAGGTAACAACTTTAATAATAATACCATTTCAATATACGTTTCCACTGATCAATTAACTATTTTTTATTGATTTTTAGTTTTCTAACTATTGCTTGTAGATCTGGAAAAAAAAATCAACTATTGTTGTAGATTTTCAATGAAAATTTGAACGGGAAGAAATTACAATGATTTGGAGGTGAATTTGCTCAAGCAAGACAACAATAAAAAACCCCTAAACGGCTACCACATGTGCGAAAACTTCGCACACCACCATACAAAACTATCACGGAATGATAGATATAACATATTTGTATTAGCAACTACAAAAGGTCATCACCAAAGAGTGAGGCTACATAAAGCCATCGCAGGAGCAAGACCATATAAAATCATCGTAGGTAGACGAGACCACATAACACATCGCTCAATGCAAAAACAATATCCAACCAACGTTGCAGCGTGGCCACAACACTCGCTAGGTGAGACCAAAACTAAACTAAGATAAACTAAATTAATTAAACTAGTCCGAAACTAAACAAAAAAAAGAAAAAGAAAAAAACCAAGAAGGGAACCACAATCCGGCATATTCCGATGAAGGGATAAGACGATTCTGAGACAAGGCAACCTGCAATGACAAGCATCAATAGGACCATCACCTTCAGTAAGTCCCGTAGCAGATGAAGAGACACCGGAGTGTCCAAATTTGGAAACCTCAGGTAGCGGGGCCTCCAAAACAGGTCGACCCAAGCTGTGCAACGCCAAATTATCCCACCCAAGGCTGAGCAGCCACAAAGTTTACATGACCAGGCGGTGCAGCACCAAATCTGGGTGCAGAGGGCGGCTGTTCCCTAGAAAAGTCGATAACAACATTCGATTTGAAACTCTTAGCACCGGGAAAGAATGGCGGAAGTGGCTCCGACCTGCCAACAGCCCCAAACCAAACACAAAACTCTGAATCGAAACCAAAACAAAGACAGAATGATTGGTACACAAAACAAATCTTGCCAGCAATGGAACAACCATTTGTAAATGGATCCAGATATCAGCATCGAGCTTTCTTTTGTGAATAGACGCAGATCGAGAAGGATTGGGAAGGAAGAGGCCTTGAGCAAGGCATAACCTGGATCTAGGGGAAGCGTGAAGCCAAGTCAAAATGGTGGGAAAGCAAGACCCATATGTATCCGCAGACCCACCCCCACACGAGAGGGCAAGGTCTGGATCTGAAGGTTGGGGGAGAGACATAGGATGGGAAAGGAAGGTGAAGGGCTGAGAAGACTGGGTTGGGGAAGATGGGGTAAAGAAAAACAGAGGGGGGATGGTGAGGCTAGGGAAATGTGGGGTGGGAAGGGGGGGAAAGAGGGGAAATGAAAGACGTGAAGGAGAGAGGGAGGCTAGGAGAAGAAGGAGAAGTTGCCCATCAGCCCCCAGCCTCAACCAGAGGCCGGCAGCCATGGAGGAAGGCTAGGGTTTGACGCTGGTTTGAAAGGGTTTCTAGGAGAACTCTCTTTTGATATCAAAAAATTGACCGTTGCAAATATTTTCATAGAATTGACCGTTGTGAATATTTCCAATGTACTAGTAAGTGAAACCATGTATCTTGACAATTGCAAATATTTTCATAGAATTGACTGTTGCGAATATTTTCAAAGAATTGGCAATTGCAATCGTATGTGATGAAAGAATTTTTTCTGGGTGGCTCAGAAAAAGTACACCAGATCATTTAGTTTACAAATTTATCTATAAATATAGTATTTTTAGTATTATTCTAAACAATATTTCAATTTTTCCTGTAATTATAAACAAAAATTCTGATAAATTCACTTCAAGAAGTGGCATCCCACCACTGTGAACGCCAAAAAAATCCTCTACAATAGTAAGCAAAAGCACCGAAATACTTCAAAACAGTACCATCATACACTCTCTACGTAATTAACTATTGGACTTCCTAAAATATATATATTTCAGTGGTTTTAATCATTCTTTGGTCTGATGAGAAAAATGTTTGGCAATTTGACCATTAATTACCATTTGAGTTGACAGATTATCTGAATGCCAAACTTGGCAACTTATGCTCCCATACTTGATGGTGTTTTCAAAGTAAAGTCAGAATTATTAAAAACAAAGTTATTCAAGGTAATATATGTTCCTTGCATCAGTGCATTCCTTGACTTATGACTTAGTTGAAGGTTTCCAAACTTTCTTATAGTACCAATTCCTTTTAATCAACAAATTGTATGAAATGTTGCACCATTAATGGTTTATTATAAGAATATTGGTTTGACAGTTTGAAGGGTGCCGAAAGAAAAACCATGAATGTTATTAGCTTACTTTTCAATCGTCGTTCTTCCTTTGTTGGCAATACTCTTTTGAAGTTTTTCTCAGTGAAACAATCCATATGCACATTTAAAAATCTTATATTAATATCCAATTCAGAAAAAACAATCCCACCAAAAAATAAAAATCTCCTCTACCCCTCCAATCTCTCTTTTCCTACCCTATGTAAGCCCACCAAAAACATCTTGTACTCCTCCTCTGTCCACGCAACACCTTCCCATATAAAAAAAAAAAAAAAAAAAAAAAACCAACCAATCCAACAATTAGTCAAGTAGCGAATTAGTACTACAATCTAGTGATATTTCTCTTCACTTATAAGTGCGAGGTTTTAGGTTTGATTCTCGTCAAAAGCGAATTTGAACCAAATTATTATTAGCTCATTGTGAGGCTAAGCCCACCCTCTCTTCTTTAGTGTAAATAATAGGGGTGTGATATCCACACACCCCTTGATAAATGAACATATTAAGATAATTAAAGAGAAAATTAGAATTCTCTACAATTTTTTTACATCTTTTAGACTAAACATTTGTATCTTTTCGAAATTTGATTGAGGTGCTTTAACCAATAAACACCTCAGCATTTTCAGTTAATTTAAATTACATATCATTCTGTATTTTTTTTTGAAAGTAAAATAATGATTAATTTCTGAATTTATTCTCTAAGTTGTTGGATGTGTTTTTTTTTTTTCTTCCTTATTTAGTGGGATATTAGTTATTAATTCTATTATCTCTTTTTCCAATTATATTCTTTCTATCAAAATGAATTGTTTTGTCCTACAAACGTTAAATATTCTCTCTTTTTTCAAATGGTTTGTTTTTTATGGATTTTTTTTTTTCCAAATTGTTGGTGATCCACAATAATTTTTTCATATTTTTTTGTCAAACTATTTTTCTTTGCATTTTTTTGTTATTTATAGTTGTTGACAAATTATTATTAGGTACAACATATTATGTGTATATTATTGCTAGGTACGTTTGAATTTGTAAAAAAAATGTGATGGTGGTAGTCACCCGCCATTACCACACAAAAACGAGTGAGATTTACGGCATCTCTTAATCTAATAAAACTCAGGTCACAACAAGAATACCATTTCCATATTTGATTAGATTTGGGACCGGATAACCTTCTTAATTTAGGTTGATTTTATTTTAATTCATTTCACGTATAAAAACTAATAATTATGATGAACATATTTGTCTCATGGTTCGATGGATTCTATGAACTTTACCTAAGATTTTGTGTGAAACTTACGAGGATTCCTGCATGGTAAATTATCAAGAATTTTCCATGTAATTCGTTACAACCAAATCTCACCCATACTTTTTTTTTTCTTCCTATATAAAAAAT